GGGACCAGCATCAGGCTGTGTCAATCACCCCGGGTGGGTATCCACCCATTTCCCTGTGTTCCCTGCCTTTGCAGCAATCAGAGTTCTCCAAGCCATTCAGAAGTGTTGGGTTGAATCACTTCTTACGCTTAACATTGTATGCCAGACAAGGCAGGCCGAGGAGATGCAGGTTTCCTATTCCCAAGTGTTGTGTTAGGAGCCTGTAGGCAAAAAATTGCCACCATTTTATTTTTTCATTTTATATATTTTTTACATCATTTTTCATTTTGCACAATGTATGCATTTTCATCGTGGTTATAGTTTCTATACAATTCCCACCCCCCATATTTTGACCCTAATCCCACCTCCCTCCCAAGCCCTCCCCCCATAGTGTGTCCATTTTGAGTTGGTTTTTGTGCATGGTGTGAGGTAGTAGTCAAGCTTCAATCTTTGCATGTAGCGACCAAGTTTTCCCAGCACCATTTATTAAACAACCTTTCTTTGGTTCATTGCATATTCTTTGCTCCTTTGTCAAAGATTAGTTAACCGTAAATCTGTGGGTTTATTTCTGGATTTTCTATTCATTTCCATTGGTCTGTGCATCTCTTCTTGTTCCAATACCATGCAGTTTTGATTATTATGGCTTTGTAGTACAGTTTGAAGTCTGGAAGTGTGATATCGCCATTCCCTTTTTTCTTTTTCCAGAAGAGCTTTAACTATTTGGAGTTTTTGGTGGCTTCATATGAATTTCATCAATATTTGTTATATTTCTTTGAAGAACATCATTGAAATTTTTATTGGAATAGCATTGAATCTGTAAATTGCTTTTGGTAGGATGGCCATGTTGATAATGTTAATTCTTCCAATCAGTGAGCAGGGAAATGTGTTTCAATTTCTTTGTGTCTTCTTCTATTTCTTTTAACATATTTTTTAGTTTTCTTATTTAGGTACTTTACCGCTTGTGTTAGGTTTATTCCATATTTTTTATTTTTTTTGTTTCAATAATAAAAGGGATGGTTTTCTTGATTTCTTCTTCTTCAGATTTATTGTTTGTGTATAGGAAGGCTACTGATTTTTGTGTTTTGATTTTGTATCCTGCTACTTTACTGAACTGATTGATTAGTTTGATTAGTCTTTCTGTGGAGTTTTTGGGGTTTTCTATGTATATTATTATATCATCTGCAAATAGTGATAGTTCAACTTCTTCCTTTCCTCTTTGTGTTCCTTGCATGTCTTTCTCTTGTCTTATTGCACTGGCTAGGATTCCCAGTATTATATTGAAAAGCAGTGGTGAGAGTGCACATCCTTGGCTTGTTCCAGATCTTAATGGAAATGCATTATCTTTTCACCACTGAGAATGATATTGGCTATGGGCTAGCCATATATGGCCTTTTTGCTATTGAGGTATCTTCCTTGTATCAAGGGGACAATACTTCAAAAAGAAATAAACCTCATTAACATATACTCACCAAATGAAGGAGCACCAAAATATATCAGACAACTATTAGCATCTCTGCAAACAGACATCAGAGAAAACACATCTGTAGTAGGAGATTGAACACACAACTATCAACAAGGATAGATCAACGAGACAAAAAATAAGTAAGGACACTAGAGCTCTAAATAAGGATCTAGATCTCATGGGCTTAACAGACATCTGTAGAATACGAAACCCCCCAAAAATCTGAGTACACATTTTTTTCAAGTGCACAAGGATCATTCTCTAAGATCGATCACATACTGGGACACAAGACAAACATCAACAAATACACCAAAATTGAAATCTTACCAAACATCTTCTATGACCAAGAAGGCATCAAACTTGAAATAAACCATAAAAGAAGGCAAGAAAGTCTCCTACCTCATGGAGATTGAAACCCAAACTACTGGAAGACCACTGGACTAATGAGGAGATAAAAGAAGAAATTAAAAAATACTTTGAGTTGAATGACAAGGAGGACACAAATTTCCTAAATGTGTGGGATGCAGCAAAAGCAGTAATAAGAGGAAAATATATAGCCATACAGGCTCACATCCAGAAAGAAGAAAGAACTCAAAGAAACAATCTAACCACACATGTCAAATAACTGGAAAAAGAACAACAAAAAAATCCTAAAACAAGTAGAAGAAAGGAAATGATAAAAATCAAAGCAGGAATAAATGAAATAGAAACTAAAAAAAAAAATCCAAAAGATTAATGAAACCAAAAGTTGGTTCTTCAAAAAAATAAATAAAATAGGAAACCCCTAGCCAGGCTCACAAAGGGAAAAAGGGAGATTAATCAGAAACGACTGTGAACAGTTATATGCAAACAAGTTCAACAATCTAGAAGAGATGGACAAATTCCTACAACTCTACAAACACCCAAAGCTAGATAAAGAAGAAATAGAACACCTAAACAGACCAATTACAAGCAGTGAAATTGAAATGGTAATCAAAACCTTCCCCAGAAACAAAGCCCAGGACCAGATGGATTTACAAATGAATTCTACCAAACATTCAGAAACGAACTAGTTCCTACCCTTCATAAACTCCTTCACAAAATTGAGAAGGAAGGGGTAATACCAAACACATTCTATGAAGCCAACATGACACTAATACCAAAACAAACAAGGACAACACAAATAAAGAAAACTACAGGCCAATCTCTCTAAGGAACACTGATGCAAAAATCCTCAATAAAATTTTCGCTAACAGAATCCAACAATGTATCCATAAGGTAATTCACACAACCAAGTAGGATTTCTTCCAGGGACACAGGATGATTCAACATCCGAAAATCAATCAATGTAATCCAACACATCAACAAAAAGAAATATGAAAACCTTATGATAATATCCCTAGATGCCGAGAAAGCTTTCAACAAAGTACAACACCCATTTATGATCAAGGCCCTTGAAATTCTCGGGATGCAAGGAACACCACTTTCTTTTGAAAGGATCACACTGTGATCCTTTCAGCCCCACTGTGAACATCACGCCACACTCAGGCGTGTGACTGCACACACAGGTCCAAAGTGAGAAGACAACTTGGAAGAAACAGCATCTGTGTCTGTTGAGGCTCAAGGAGTGGCCAGGTGCCAGCCCCGCTCTCCTGACCATTCTCTAGACAGAGGATTAGGTCAGAACATGTCTAGACCCTGGAAGGGTCACGAGAGGGAGGACACTGAGGGCGAGAGGAGTGGAGGGTTCCGTGGCACCACAGCAATGCCTTGCCCACAAGGAGAGCGAGAGGTTGGCCGGGTGTGAGAGGGCAGTCTCCCCACTCGGGGGCTGCTCCTGCCATTGCTCCCGTGCCCTGAGTCCCACCTGCTGGTGCACTGGCGCCGAGGAGCCGCACACGCCCTTTCTGTAAAGCCCCTGCATACCATTAGGTCCGCGTGTGGCTGGGGCTCTGGCTCAAACCTGTCCCAGGCACGACCAGTTCCCTGGAAGCTTCTGTCCTCGCCCACTTGTTCCACAGCCTTCATAGCCCTCTGGCCACTGCTTTAGGGGGGAGGTCATATGCTACATACCCTGGAGGAGGGGCTGCTGTCCACTGACTAGGTGACTGGATGGGTCCTGACTCACCTCAGGGCACCAGTCCCCGGGGGCCCTGGGGAGCATCATTCCTTCTTAGGCTCAGGGGCTACCCAAACACGAGCACAGAATGGGAGGTGTCCTGTCCCCAAAGGGGACAGGTTGCCTGATGACAGGTGGCCATCCAGCCTCCATGCGCCCTTCAGGTTGACCCTCCACGCAGAATCCGCCTGATTTCATCCCTCAGTAGAGCTCCTGGACAAAGATCCTCGGTCCTCACGGGGATGGGTGAGACATCCCGGGGCCCATGGGCCCCAACAGGTGAGTACAGGCCAGCAAAGGAAGAATGGGGGAAATTGGCCAGGCTCCTGCTGTGGGGTTTGGTGTTCAGGCCAGTCCTCACCCCAGGTGCTCACACTGGGCACCCCCAAGACTCAGGAACCCCCACTGCAGCCTCTTGGTCCCTGTATTCCTAGCAGGGGCACTGGCCAGGAGAGGGATCCAGAGACTCCGAGTGTCTGGCCCAGCTCTACCACCAGGATTGACCCTCTCGCTGGTCTGAAAGGACCAGTTGGGCCTCGGCTAAGCCCTAGTCCCCGGGGCTGTTGTTCTCAGCCCCCAGATCTCCCCATCACTGCTGACGGGCCCTGCCTATCAATGTCCCCGTGCTGCCACCCTGGCGAGGTCCCTCTGGAGAGAGAGGCCTCAGTGCGGGGATGGCCGTTGCCTGCAGTGACCTGTGTGCACTCGTAATCTGGGGGAGCACGGGCTTCTCCAGGTCGGTGTGCCCTGGGAAATAACTCTGACACTGCCCGTGGGCGTGAGGATCGCATTCCTGTCTGGCGTTCATCTCTGCACGGGTCCCATCGTTCTTGGTTTTGCTGTGACCATAGAGGAGGAGGTGTGGCCCTCACTGTCCATCTGATGTCTCTTAAGGCCTCGGTCACTCTGCCAGGTAAGTGTGCATGTCACTGCTGCCAGGGATTCCTTGTTATGTTTCCTCTCGATCCCCCTGGACTTTCTCTTTCCCAGAAAATGTGCTGTTTCCTAACAGGGCACCCCCAAAGGACTCAGTTCTTCTGAACCAGGCTGCTAACCACGAAGCCAGCTCTTGTGAGGGGTGGAACAGAGACAGTAAACAGATGGGGTGCAGGGGATGGGCAGAGGCAGTGAGAGCAGGGGTGCAATGTTCCATTGGTGAGCGAAATGGTCAGAAAGTGCATCATGGGGCGGTATCTCGCTGTGAACTTCTTATAGTCCAAAATGAGTACAATTACAACCAAGCATAGCAAGACAACTATTGATTAAAAACGTGTATTTAAAAACAAAAAAAACACCAAGCAAGAATAAAAATAAAAGTGAAAAATAAAACTAAACGCATTATCGGGTAGTCAGTGATGAATGGGGATACGTCCCGAGTGTGTTCACCCTTCCCCAGCCAGGTTAGGGTGGGCTGAAGAGCCGTGGGGGTCACAGTGGGGTCCTGGTTGATTTCTCCGTCCCTCAACCAGGGTGGGGAGGGCTCTGGACCCATGGGGTTTATGGCGGGGAAGTGGCCAGGTCCTCCCCCCACCAGCCGGGTTCGGGTGGCCTCTGGACCTGCGGGGGTCATGCCAGGGTCTGGGTAGGGCTCACCCTCCCCCACGCAGGGTGGGGTGGACTCAGGACCCTCGGCCATAACGGAGGGCTTCTGGCTGGGTTCTCCCTCCCCCAGCCAGGGTGGGGTGTGCTCAGGACAAACAGATATCCTGCTGGGGTCCTGGCTGTTTTCTCCTTCCCCAAGCCGGGGTGGAGTGGCCTCAGGAACCCCCGTACGTCCTGAAGTTGCCTCTGGTCCTCCTGGTGGCTTCCCCTCTATGGCAACCTCGGTCAGATCTTCTGTTTGAGAGGGAGTTGAGACAGAAGTGCATGACTGTCACCACACACCCTTCCATGTGGCCTTCGGGACCTAGTCCAGGCCAGCACCCTCAGGGCAGCCCAGTCCTGATCGCCCCGGTGTCTGCCCCTGAACCACACGTGTGTTTCCCAGGTCAGAGTGGCTTCAGGTTGACCTGGGTTCCCAGGTCAACCCAGATGTGCTGGGAGCCTCCCTGTGGGCCCTGACCCTCCCTCCCAGAACACCAGGACATGTCGCCTCTCACCTTCATTCTCCTCCACCAGGGGCTCCAGGTATGGTACCCAGGACCTGCCACTCTTACCCGGTGCTGCACGGTGACGGGGTCCCTTCTTACTGGGGAGGAACGTTGGGGAGTCTCCCCAACGTTCCTCCTTAGGTGTGCACGTAGATTGTCTCCCCTGGGAAAAGAGAACATGCAGGGTGAAATCTACGTGGGGAAGGAGACCCCAAAGGCCTGGGGTCCCTCCCGCCAGCCTCTTCCTGTGGGACAATGACCCACCACACTGTGAGCCGTAGGACTCTGCATAGCAGGACACACACTCACATGACCGCACTCCCCGGACTGCACACTGGCAAGCACATACAGGTACACACACGCACTCACAGACACACACACTCCAGGACAGATGGGGCTGCCCGAGTCCTCAGCGTGCTGGCCACTTGCCCATTGGCTGCCTTCTTACCATTGGGGTCCTCCCAGCAAATGGCCAGTGAGGCCAGTTTCTTCCTTGAAATGTTTCCTAAAGGTACTGGCATCGTTTACCGGCATGCACCCAGGGGCCCTGGGCAGGCAGCAGAACATGTTGCCTCTCCCGGGGCATTGAGACCACCACCACTTGGGGTCTGGGTCTAAATGCGGCTGCCTGGAGACCAGGATTCTGAGTTTTGAGGGGCTCATAGCCGTTCGTGATGTCACTGCCTGTGGACTCTTCCCTCTCTTACCTTCTCTGTCAAGAGCCACACTCCCCTGGGCTGCCGCCTGCTCTCCCTGTCTAGGCCTGTCCACACCAGTGACACCGACGCCAGGCACAAGGCCCAGGGGAGCTGAGTGCAGGCGGGGCCAGGCATGGGGCTGTGGGAGCTAGGGCTGAGGGAGCTGTGGTCTCAGGGTGCTGGGACTCAGGGAGCTTTGGCTTGGGGAGCTGAGTCCCAGGACACTGCATGTAATAATCTGGGGTCTTAGGGACCTGCAGACTCCTGCATTTGGGGCCTGGGAGAGCTGGGGCTTGGCATAGCTGGGTGATGACCCAACCCCACCTTTCTTCCAGGAGGAGAGCTGAGCAGCCCTGTGCCCCTCTGTCCCTGCACCCCTGTGCATCAGAGGTGACCTAGCTCCCTCCCCATCACTGTCGTGGGTCGAACTCATGGCTGCTGATATGGTTGAAGGGCAGGCTCTTTGTTCCTGGCACAGGCCCAGACACAAGTAGGGCCTGCAGTCTGCCTGCTCCACATTCTTCTTCCTTTCTGCTCTTCCTTTCTCCTTCCTGACCCTCCGTTGATCTGCCTCCTCATTCATCCCTGAATCCTTTCACTGAGACCTGCCCCCCTCACCTCCATGGAGAGTATGGGGTGTGCTGTGTTTTGTGTACAGGAGAGAAGCAACAGGTTGTCCAACTTTCTCATCCTGCTTCCGTTTACCCCCATAGCTTTTAAGAAGTGGATGTTTGGAATGGGGAGGCTCAATGGCAACTTCCACAGGACAGGGAATTCTCAAAACACATGGCCAATACTGTACTTTTGTGGACAGATTCAAGACAGAAGCACTTGATGGGGAAGGTTCATGCCAAGGCTTACTGAGAGCAGAGATCCTTTTCAGCTGCCCGGCTCTGAGAATTTCAACACACTTTGGATATTTCAAAACAGGTATCGGTGAATAACATCATGCATCTGTTATAATGTAGCGTACAATGCAAATGCCCTTGAAGAATGCATTGACTTATTCTGAGCTCTAGCATACACACAAGATGTGGGCGGGAAGGGACCTGGGCAAGTCACTCAGGTGTCCCCATGCCTGTGTCTCCTTGTTGATCATTCTTCCAGCGGGACCCTCCCGTTTATTTATTTTGGCGGCACAGGTCCATGCTCTGTAGTTATCCACCTCCTTACCCACCGCCGAGGCCCCATGACCCTCTGCCACAATCTTTCGGCTCTCTCCACACTTCGTTCCTCATTCCCTCTCCGACCATGGTGGCCTCAGTTCTGCGGTAGTCAGATTTCTAGGGTTTGGTATGGTTTGTGTCATTCCTTTGATTTTTTTTTTTTTAAAGATTTACTTATTTATGCATACAAGAACTGGGGTACAGGCCAGAGGGGTGGGGAGGGGAGGTGGGAGGATTCACCAGAGACAGAGTGGGGAACAGAACAGGCAGATTCACTGAAATACACCACTGAGGGGAGCAGAGAGCGAGTCAGGAGAGGTCTGCACCATGTGGGTTGCTCCCTGGCCGGCCGGGGATATAACTTGTGCTGCAGTGGCTGCGGATGGCTTCATCGGTTGCGTCTTAACCCCTTGGGCCACCAGGGAGGCCCCATTCCTTTGATTTCTGTCTTTGTAATCCTCATAGAAGTCAGATTACACAAAATCATTTTTTCCCCTCTGATGATTTCTTTTGCTCCCCATAATCGCCCGCAGTTTCATTAATGTTATTGCAAATGCCACATTGTCACCTGGTTTTGATTGAATACTTATATGAGTTTTCCACTGTCCTTGGGCACTTGAGTTGTTTTCATAAGTTGGCTAACCTTTGGCTCTATCAACTCAGTTCCCTACGATTCTGGGTTTCTTGCCTCTCCAAGTCTTAGCACAGGTTAATCTCTCCCTTTGGATGTGTTAGTCTCTTTTTTCTGCTCTCCTGTTCCTCCAGGTACATTCATTCTTCTCTTCTTTTTGAGGGTTTGTATTATTTATTTGGGATACAAAGCTGGGGTGTAGGCAGAGGTGAGGGATGGGGCGGAGGGTGTGAGCGGATTCACCAGAGACAGAGTGGGGAGCTAATCAGGTGGGTCGACTGAAATACACTGCAGAGGGGAGCAGCAGGAAAGACAGGAGATCTCTGCTGGCCATATGGGTCAGCTCCCTGGTAGGGGATGGAACTCGTGCTACACTGGCCACCCATGGCTTCATAGTGCTGAGACTGAACCCCTTGAGCCACCACGGAGTCCTGCATTTTTCTTCTGGTGCCGACTGCCCTTCAAGGCTTCCTCTTCATAGATCTCCCTCAAGGAAGCCCTTTCTCACTATCCACGGTGAGTTGAACTTTCTTTGCAAATATGGGCATGATTTTCTTACCCCAGCAGTGCTCTGGGTTATTCTATGTATTATACTCGTCTCCATCAAGTGCCACAAGGGACACACTTTGCACAGACACCTTTATCACCTTCACTAATACCTGCACACTTGCATGAGGGCATATTGTCAGTTTCAGGCTTGTGGACTAAGTAAATGGTGGACGAGGCAGAGTGTGCTCTGTGTGGCTGCAGGAAACAGTATGTCTTTCTCAAAATTAAGGACGCAATCAAGGTGTGAGCTGTCGAGATATGCTATTCCTGGAAAGCTGAGCATTTTAATATGGCAAGGTTGTTGTTCTAGCTCCGTTTGCACAGTGTGATTGCAAAAGTTCCAATGATCCATTTACTGTGCTAGTTTCCTCAATGAGGCTGATGAGCGCAGGCTGGCAGCCCAGCGGAAATTCAGAGATCAAACTAACAGCATTGCAGCTTGTATTCACAGTAGGTTAGGTTGCATCTCATGCACCAGTTTCATTTACCAGGAATCTGAATACAAAATGAGACCTGGAAATGTAATGGATGTTTTGTGTTCCCACAGTCCTTATCAGGAACAGGGGTCAGAGTTGACCTGTTGGTCCTGCTTATGCAGTTCAGTCCCGGGAACTCTCCACAGCATGACCTTCCCTCCAAGCTGCCTGAGGGCTGTCATTCTGGAAATGCAGTGCTGGGCTCCAGGACACTCATTGCATGAGGGCCTGGGGCAGTGGCCATATTTGAGTCTGGGCTCTGGCCTCACTCTTCTTGTCTGGGCCTCCAAGGTTTGAACATCCCACGAGGCTCACATTACCTCCGTTCAACAAGGAAAATTCTCCAGGCCTTACCCATTATCACCTTTAATCAGTAGTTATACAAAATGTGGGGTGCATATTTATCATGTGTAAGTTTTTCCTACAACTTGTCCACTCACAAATTGGACAGGTCACTGTGCCCTCTCCAGGGAGATGGAGCAATTGAACCAGCCATGGGCTCCTCAGCGTTGCACCCGGGAGCAGCGCGTCAGTGATAGATCTACGCATCTCCCCACAGAGAGTGGCCTCCTCCTCTCTGTTGCTATGGCATGTGTGGAGGAGACACTGATGGGGTCCCTTGGGGAACACATAACTGTCCCCCGCAACACTGCTCAAAGGACACCAGAGTCGAACCATGTCAAGATCCAGCGGCAGGGAAATGCTCTGTGCCTGTGCAATGTGTACAACATCCTGAAGATGAGTAAGGCCCTTCACAGCTCCTGACTTCACAGGTCTCCGGCAATCTGTCCTGTGCTGTGATTTGGCAAGATGTGGAAAAACTCAAACAATAGAAACCACTCCACTCTTTTTATATGTGGACTACTGATTCAAGGTGATGATGGCCAAGGTGTGGAGAAGTTCCCTTATTGAACCAAATATTCTATAGGAAGACTGAGATGGCCAGGTAAATCACAAAAATACTCACAAACGGAAAAGTCAACATGCATATTTCTCCTCTGTTCCTCAACAATTATATGAGAAGGTATTTCTACCTACCGTAACACTGGTGGTGAGGAGTTGACATGTTGACTCCTGTGGTAGTTCATCTGTGGGTTATCATGTGGGAAATCCCTGGGGGTGCACATAGGCCAGAATTTGAGTGTGGATGCTAGTACCCTGCCAGCCACTCCAGAGTTCTGGGGGGAGGCCCCTGTGCTTCTGCTCTCACATAGCCTAGCCCTGGGCAGTGTTGGTGTGCTTGGAAAACTGGCCATTTCCTAGGCACTCGGGTGAACTTTGGCCAGTTGATCGATGATCATAGACATGTCCAGGTAGACACATGAGGAGGTCTCTGGGGCTGCTGAAGTGCCACGGGGGACACACCCATAGGACACCACTTCACCCAGTTCACACACAGAGGAGTAGCTACACAGACATCCTGCCAGTAACACATGAGAAGCTCTAGGAATCAATATGAACAGACCCATTGGAATGGGTCTGTTTCCAACAGTCACTTTCTCATTCTGCAACTCATATGCTGGTTAGGAACATGGCTGACCTACCAGGTTTTCACCCATCACAACCTGTGCCTTCCCTCCAAAACTCCCCTCAAAAATGTTTACAGGGCCTCCCCGGTGGCGCAGCGGTTGAGCGCTGGGTTGCAAAGCTGCCGGCGACCTCTGAAGCGCTGGTTCGATCCCCGGCTGCTCCTCGGCCACCGAAGGAGGGTCCCACATGGCGCGCAGACCTCTCCTGCCGCCCGCTGCTCCCCTCAGCAGTGTACTTCGGTCTTTCTGCCTGCTCTGCTCCCCGCTCTGGCTCTGGTGAATTCTCTCACCCTCCCGCGCTTCTGACTGTACCCAGTGCATGTATAAGCAAAACGAACAAACAAACAAACAAATAAATAAAAAACATGCCTCTAAAAAAAAAAAAAAAAAAAAAAAAAACCACAAATTTAAAAAAAAAAAAAATGTTTACACCTCCAAAATACACACACACACACACACACACACACAATGAGGGAAAAGGCGTGTGAGATGCTCAGGAGGGATCACAGGTGTATTCTCAACACCTGGGCAGCCTGAGACTATTACCTTTTTTTGCCTCTTGCGAAATGGCCAGAAAGAGCGGCCAGGAGGGCTGAGCTGGCCATGGGAACCATCAGTAAGTCTCACCCTCTGGGTTTTCCTGAAGCTGAAGCATCTGAGCTTCAGGGGCCAGCAGCAGAACATCTTCTTCTGCTGACTGTGTCTAGTAAACTGAGCTGGCCAAATGCTGTCGCTAGGATGTGGTTGCCTGGTGGACAGAGTTCTAAGTTCTGTGGTGCCCACCACCAGGAAGTGAGGTCACTTGTTCAAGGACCATTAACTGTTGGATTCCTGCAATCTCACCTCCACAAAGACCAATCCATGCCATTGACCTTATTCCCAGCAAGAAAAATCCAGAGTGTACACACTGATCCATAACACGCCTCATCCGAGGTACCTGGGTAAATAATGATGGTCCTAAGATGAGGAGTCTCATCTGAATGGAGATTTCCTTTCCTTAGGTACTGGGGCCTGGGATCCTCATTGTTCTTCTCAGCACCCCCGTGTCCCAGCATTCACAGTGGTGTCCGACAAAATTAACTTCCTGGAGACATCGTCCGTTCTATGTGTGATAATATCTCAAAACCTATAGTCTGTTGGACACAGAAGGGAGCAATAGGTTGTGGGGCACTTGTGAAACAGGAGAGGGGTCCAGTCTTGTCATATTGTAACTTTCACTTCCCATCTACCTCGTTGTAATATCTGTTCCCTGAGGGAGTTGAAATTAATGTTCGTTCAGATATTAATGTTCACTGAGATAGTGAAATTTATTGGCAAAAGTGTAGAAATGTTTCCTCTTCCAAAGAGAACGAGACTGAAGTGCTTCGTCTTGACCTCAGATGAGGGCAGAATCCACGATGGCTCTCGGAGTACCCATCCAAAGCATACACATCCCTGGGTCACCACATTGTGGTCAGCGCCTGGATACTGAGCAACAGGACACAGTCACATGGGGAGGAGCCAGTGGCTATATTTAATGTCAAAACGTATCTCCCATCCATATGAATTCACCACAGTCCTTCCCTCTTGCCTTCTTTTCCTCACTAAATGCCTTTTTCTTTGCCATAGTCCCACATTCCTGAACTAGGGAGACAAGCACAGATGTTGTGAGCTCCCCTGTGCAGGGGTCACACAGGAGAGCTTCCAGGCAGTGCCCGGGACACCACACAGAAAGGAAGTCAGGCACTTTGTTCAAAATGCAACATAAACCATGGGGTTGAATTGGGGACTAAATCTTTGACCTGGGACACCTGAGGCTGTGGACACAAGCCCCACTCTTTCTAGACAGTTGGCTCACACACATTAGGCGACATTCACTTAGATTAAGGTGCACGTATTAGGGCAGTATTGTTAGTAAGGAACAGATGACAGTATCTCAGGCCACAGGTGTGGGTGCCACCTTCCACCCTCCTCCCTCCTGCCCTCCACTCTACCCATATGTCCCTGCAGTGACAGTGATAGACTGTGAGGGAACTCTGAAGGAACTCTGAAGGACTCTGAACTGCCTCTGAAGAAACTCAGTTCTGCCCATGAGAGTCTGCAGTAGTCTTGCTCTCCCTGACACTGTGACCCCACCCTGTGAAGGGCTGGCAAGGACACCAGGCAACCCTCCCATGGGAACGCCAGACCTCTCTCTCCGCACATGCTATATTTTCAGAAGGGAACGAGCTAGTGTCGTACACATGCCTTCACTTTCAAGCTCTAACATGTTCCTTTCACACCGACAGCACCAGAATGGCAGGGCCTGGTGAGGGTGATGTTCAGACACAGCTGGCCCTGCAGGAACCCTGGCACAGGGACAGTGTTTGCTCCTAAATCCTCTGAATCTTCTTCCCTCTATCCAGCTACAATGCACAGACTGACGCTTGTCACAGGAAGTGAACATGTTTCTGAAGCAGGGTCAGCACAATGGGCTCTCAGTGACCACATGGTCCAGCAAAGCTCAGAGACACGCCTGGCACAGGAGACCTGCTGCCCTCCTGTGGTCAGAACTTGCACTTGCAGACTCAGGCCTGGACACCACCAAGGAACCTTTCGTGTTTACTTGGCTGTCAAGACATGGTCTCTGGGTCCTCCAAGGCACCTCAGCCAATTCAGCAGCCTGAAAGGGCAGGTCATGGGCTCAGAGTGTTCACATCACCCCGACTTTTTACCCTCTTACTGAGACATCCTCCTTACTGAGGAGGAATTCACCTCAACCAGGTCAACAATTACCCCCAATAGCCAATGGGGTCTCTGAGGATGCAAGAGGAAAGGGGGTTATGCCAGAAGACCATGGTCTGTGAGCAGTGCTCAGAATGTCCTTCTCTAAAGTCCTTACCCACCAGAGTCACCCGAACTTTTCAAGTTGAATGCACAACCCTGGGAAGATCATTTCCACAGGTTCTCAGAGCACAGTGGGTCTTTGATAGAGACGGCAGGCTGGTAGAATCCCTTGAGCCTGTGGAGCCTCAAAAGCAGCACCCAGTTGACCCCGAGGGATGGTGGTTTCTTGTCTTTTGTCACCACTGTCTTGATTGATGAGGTGGCTTTCCATAGTTGATGGGGTGGCTTTCCATAGTTGCAGGTGCCCGTAGAGGTGGATAAAGGCATGAATGGGGTTCAGGTTAGAATCAGCTCCATGGCAACATCATCTGTTCCATGTGCGGTCATATCTAAAAAACACCCTTTATTATGAGTTGGACCAGGGATGTCCCAAGTCAAGCAAAGCTCTTGGCTTCATAGTGATTTCGCTGAACTTCTCTGGGACATTGGCACGTAGGTAGGAGAATGGTTGCCCCTGCCCCATGCCATGCTGAAGCTACCCCTGACTTTTCTTCTTTCCCTTTGTAGCTTCCTGTGTCTGCTCTTCATAAACTCACTTCGAGATGTGTACCTGTGCACCTGCCTGGGTGTAGAGAATAAAATGACCGACTATGGAGATGGGCCCACGCAGTCACACTAACCTTAGGAGCTCTCCTCACAAGGACACCTGAGTGATGGGAATCAGCACTGACCAAAGGCCCCCCTAATCTTTTGATCTCTGAACATGACTGAGCTATTCCTGCCTCTTTATAGGCCTTTGTACTGGGAAAATTTGCATGTGAATTTACATACCCATTTTCTCTAACAGAAAGAGATGCCGGCTCAGCACAGTGGATAAGGCCTCAGAGTAGGTAGTTCAGGGAGTGTGGGCCTGGGCGCTCCAGAACACTGGGATTTGGGGGAACAGCCATCTGTCCGCCGGACATTGTGCCCACAACTGGGTGGTCACGTGGCTGTGGCAGACCTGAGCCCGTGGGTCCCCAGGACCCTGCCTGGCCCCGGGCATCCGTAACGGCCCCAGCTATTCGCAGGAGACACTTCTCAGTGCCCCGGCCAGTGTCTTTCCCCACCCGCACACGCTGTGAGCTCTTGTCACCACTATGGGAAAATAGTAAACAAAGAGTAAGTAGCCCATGGGGTGAGCGTGAGTGTTCATGTGTGTGTAGCAATACACGATCATTTCACTACATAAAAATTGCCGAACAATCCTGAGGCGCATTTTTTCACTCAGAACTTGCCCAGTCATACTTCAGCAAAGCCAAATCCTAAAACAAATATCTTCACTACAAAATGAAAAGGTGGCAGTAGAGAGTGGGCATGAGAGAAGGACAATGTGAACGTCAGTTCCCACTTCACGTCACATAACTTTATCTATCTGCGTTAGTGGTGCGAGGCAGGTCCTAACGCATCCCAGGGAATAGGAAGACACTGAGCCTTGAAGAGCTGATTATTTTGAGGGAAGTACATGCACCGATATTAGAGATGGCCTTGTGTTACCTCCCAGGCTTCCTTTGTGATTTCCCTGTTTCACTCATGTAGGAATCGTGTAGGATCATCAGGTTTCTATGTAGCGATTTGTCTAACATTAACAGTATCTTCCATATTGCCATCTGTTCAAAACCCATTCATGTCACATGTTTCTGAATGAGATAAAAGTTATGTAATAGCGTCCATATAAAAGTTATGTAATAGCGTCCATATAGCATCACCATAAGGAACTTGTGGTGATAGTCCATAGATTGTCACCGAATAGTGTGTATATTGACATGATGAGGGACATTACTGTTCCTTCACATATTTATACTGATAGATACTTTCATTCATATTTTCCTGTTTTCTCTCAGTCACCTGATATAAGGACCAACGATATTCAATATAGATGACATATCAACATT